AAATCAAAGATACCTAAAATAAAAACCAAAGGTTATATTTAGTTCATTCAAATCTGAAAGGTGCATTAAACGCTCTAATTGGAATGCTGAAATAACAGGTGAACCGATTATTTACTTATAGATGTTTTTGGTTTTATGGCCAGATTTGGGCACCACTTTGAGTAGCTTACAAGCATGAAAAATATTACCAGTAATCCTCGACTTACAAGTTTCTTTAGTGACCAAAGTTACAACAGCACTGAAAAACGTGACTAGGTTTTTTTCTGTGATAGCTTTTCCAACATTCCCATGAAAGACTTGTATGACAATGCAAAACACAACTACAACAGAATGCATTAGTCTTTCCTGTGTTCCTACACAATAAACACTGCCCTGTTTTTTGACATTTGATCTTAACAGTACTGGTTGGAACGGGATCCGGAACCCACCACTGGGGCAAGCGTGCCGTTGCCATTCTTCTGGTTTTCAGCACACGCATGCATGCCAGCCAGCTGGTTTTTGTGGGTGCCGGAGCACCAGAAAACAGCCTGAAAACACCCAAAAAAACAGGCTGTTTTTCGGGCCATTTTCAGGTCAAAAAACACCCTGGAAAATGGCCTGAAAAACTACCAAAACTGGCCAAAAAACAGGGATGCGTGGACTGACCAGATGGTCTTTGGGTTTTCGGTGCTCCGGCACAAGCGAAGACCAGCTGATCGGCGCACCTGCACATGCTGGAAACCCAGCGCTCCAGCATGTATGTATGCAATGTTCTGGTTTGGGCACAATGCCAGCCTCGGCCAGTGACTCTACCTGCCCACGCTCTCCAGCCGACCTTTCCGGGAAGCTTCCCCCTTCTTCTTCTTTTTCTTCTCCTGCTCCTGCTCCTCCTCCTCCTCTTCCGACTGGTCTTCACTCTCTTCCTCCTCCTCTTCTTCACTGCCGGATCCCGATCCACTCTCACTTCCGCTTTCGGATCCACTCATGGTCTCGGGCTCTGCAAGAGATGACCTAATTAATTTACNGCGCAGAATTCGTAAAAACTGGGTAAGGAGCGGGCGCGGGTGTGCGTGCGTGCGCGTGCGCGGGGGGGGGGCTTCCGGGTTCGGCGACCAACCGGATCGCAGGGACCGGTGCGAACCGGTCGAAACCCACCCCTGTCTTTATCCCCAGGCCTGACGGGATAGCCAGGACTTGAGGGCTGTGCGGAAGGTCTGGACGGTGGTGAGGGTACGAATCTCCACGGGGAGATCGTTCCAAAGGGTCGGAGCTACTACTGAAAAGGCTCTCCTCCGTGTGGTTGCCAGTCGACACTGACTGGCGGATGGAACTCGTGCATTAATTTGTGCATTAATAGCGAAGAAGAGAGGGATTCTGTACACATGGATTATAAATGATGGAAGCTCCCACCAGTCAACACCCCATAATAAAAAATTGCTGTATTTAAACGATTTTAACAAAGTATACAGGGAAGTTTCTGCTGGTGTCACTGGAACTGCAGAAGAAAACAAGGTCTGCGCTAGGGATGGGGAATCCATGATCTTCTAGAAGGTATACTTAACTGCCACCAACTTGTGAGTCTGTGACAACTCACATTAGCCAGGTCGGTGTGGCTGGGTAGGTGTAGCTATCTGGTTGCAGCTGGCTTGCCACAACTGGGTGGGCAAGGCTGACTCGACACTACTCACTTGGCACGGCTGACTCGGTACAACCAGGAGGACATGGCCGGGTCGGCACAAAGCAACTCTCAGTAGCTAACTCGATGTGAGAAAACTCAGTGCCCCATAAGCGCCTCGCCTCCCCAAATTGCTGGCAGCCAAGCATGTGTGTGCGCATGCACCACCACCCCCGCATTCCATGTTTGGGGATTTTTATACACACAGGAAGGAGAGGGCCTCCTTCCTAAGCCTAGATATGATTGGCAGCTTCCCAGTTCAGATGAGGATAAGTCTCCAAGCTGGGAATGGTGTGTTTGTGTGAGCGCGTGCGTGCGCAGCAAGCCAAAGGAGATGTCGTTCTTCCAATCCCAGACATCTGAGCCCTGGCATTTTCCTGTCTGGTGCCTCCTCAAATCTTTCAGCTCCGCTTGATTTAATTGAGGGTCCTTGGTGCTGCCTGAGCTTGGTTATTTTCTTGCAGACATTTCATTACTCAGACTAGGTAATATTATCAGTTCTAATCCTAGATAATTGGGTAATGAAATGCCTGCAATATGGGCTGGAAAATTTTATTTACATTTCTATAGCAACGTAACATAGATTTTAAAAGTTGCTTTTAAAAATATCCATGGTTAGTTGAAAATACGTACAAATACATACCTTGAAGGGAAGAGGTTTTCCCAAAGCCTTCTGTAACTTTTTAATGCTGGTAGAAATACCCTCTGGATTAGCAAGAGAAGTCTGCATTTGCTGTGATACAGACTGAATTTCCTTGGACAACCTTAAAATGGAACAAATAAATATTTATATAAACATTTCAGAGGGGAAGACTGATCGTTAAATCACCCATGGCTGTTCTGTGCCAACCTTCACCAACTTGGTTGAGAATCCTAAAAATGCATGTCTAACAAGTTGGGAAAGGCTAATATATTTATGCAATGGCCTATAATGAGTTTATGAATAGGACACTGGAAGAAAGCACATGGACAGGCAAATTTACATTTAAAAGCACCTAAGCCACAAACTAGACAGCCATACTTTTGCCTAGCATGTTGTGCAAATCCAATTCATTCAGTTACTTTATGTCTTAATTTGTTATGTGAATCCACCAAATGGATAATTACATAAACCCACATTAACCAAGGATATAGGGCTTCATCTGAACACAGCAGAGGTTCTGACCGGTTCTGGAGAACCGGTAGCGGAAATTTTGAGTAGTTCAGAGAACCAGTAAATACCACCTCTGACTGGCCCCACCTCCATCTATTCTTTGCCTCCCAAGCCCCAGCTGATCGGGAGGGAATGGGGATTTTGCAGTAACTTTGCCCTGGAGTGGGGAGGGAATGGAGACTTTACAGTATCCTTCCCCTGCCACCCCCACCAAGCCACCCTCAAAGAACTGGTAGTAAAAAAATTTGAATCCCACCACTGGAACACAGCCTAGTGCAGTGTTTCTCAACCTTGGCAACTTGAAGATGTCTGGACTTCAACTCCCAGAATTCCCCAGCCAGCGAAGTCCGGACATCTTCAAGTTGCCACGGTTGAGAAACACTGGCCTAGTGGAAAGGAAGATTCTTGAAAAAGCTAAATAGTACTGTGGAAAATTACAAAGGAGACATACTTTTGCTGTTCATATCCACTCAGAAGCTGAGGTATTCTGCTGATTAAATGTTTCACAACCCAGTGCCAGTGGAGAGACAAGAGCATCAAGCCAGGAGAATCCAAAGCCACCATTTCAGATGTTGCCCAAAACCTGTCACGCCACAATAAGCTATGTAGAATCTAGAAGCAAGCCAGGGAGATTATGTTCTTTAAACATAGTAGGGGTTCAGATGAAGAATTACCATTTTCATATTAGGAAATATCAATATCTTGTTTTGAGGATGACAAGAGGAGAAAGCAGCCTTTCATATCTGCTCCCCTTGCATTCTATGCTACGCTCAGGAAGAACATTTCCAGTTATGAAGGAGAGAGAATGACCATTGACTGAAGGGTCGTTTTCTGTATGCTGCGAGGAGTCCAAGAATGGGTTAAACTCAGCCAATCTGCCCAGGACTGAATTGAAACTTTAGCCACGCCTCTTGGTTGCCTTGACTGCCAGTTTTTTTCAATGAAGGCGTGGAACTGTACGCGTTGAAAGGTTGTCCAAATAAATTCGTGAAACTGTCCAAGAGTACGCCTTGACAGCAGAGAAAGACCCCAGGACGGGGTTGGACTCTCCTCGCAGCATACAGAAAACGATCCTTCAGGTAAGCCAATGGTCATTTTCCTGTACACTGCTTGGAGAGTCCAAGAATGGGATATACCCAAGCTAAATGTCACTAGAGCAGGAAGCTGATGAGTCCAGGGTCTCTCCGCTGCTATGAATGCCCTGTAGGACTCGCCTCCCAAATGCCCCCTTCTCAGAGGCAAACATATCCAGTTTATAGTTTCTGACAAAGGGAGATAAGGAAGTCCAAGTGGCCACTCTGCAAATCTCCTCTATCGGAGCCTGGGTCGCCCAAGCCGCGGTGGTGGCAGCGCTCCTGGTAAAATGTGCGGTAATCTGTCGAGGTACCGGTCTGGATTGCAGTACGTAAGTGAAGGCAATGCAGGCACGCGGCCAACGTCCAATGGTAGAGGAGGAAACTTTGCGACCTTGGGATGCAGGCTGAAAGGACACAAAGAGTGACTCAGAACGCCTGAAAGCCGCCGTGCGCTTGATGTACCTACGCAGGGATTGACGAACATCGAGCATGTGCCATCTTCTCTCCCTCGGATGCCTGGGATGCGGACAAAAATCCGGGAGGATAACCTCCTGGGCCCAGTGAAACCATAAGTTGGTTTTGGGAATAAAAGCTGGGTCCAGCCGGAGGACTACCCTGTCAGGATGTATCAGACACAAGTCCTCCCGAACCAACAGGGCTGCCTACTCTGAGATATGTTGCACCGATGTGATGGTAATCAGGAAGATGGAAAGTTTAGATGTTTCAGACTGGCGGACTGTATTGTCTCAAATGGCGTGCCTATCAGAGCCTGTAACACAACGTCGCGCTCCCATGATGGGAATTGATGAATGACTGGCGGGCTCAGGTTGATGGTACCCCGCAGGAAGCTGCAGATGGTGGGTGATGGCCAAGGGACAAGACACTGTTCGGAGCAAGAATCGTGGACAAGGCAGCCACCTGTCGCTTTAGGATATTAGGTGCCAGGCTCTGGTCCAGCCTATCCTGCAAAAACTCCAACTCCTGGAGAACAGTAGGTTCCAAGCGCGGCTTTCTTTCCCAGTTACTCAGAGGCTTTGGTATACTCCCCCCTCCTCCTCCTCCTCCTCCTCCTGCAAGCGAAAGGTGCCTCAGAGATTCGTCGGGCAGCTGAGAGGAGACAATGGCCACAATGACTTCACTCCCCAGCAATGTGAGGAGCCGCTGCCACCTCCACCATCGCCTAAGCCCTCCTGGGAGCCCAGCCAAGCGGGAGCCCTGAAAGCCAAACCTCTCTCCTTTCCAGCCATCACAATCTCTGCAGCGTCCACTTCGCCTGCCCCTTTTTCAGATGACCCAGGTGGCTACATTAAGAGTATAAGACGCACCCAGATTTTCACTTTCTTTTTTAGAGTAAAACGGTGCATCTTATACTCCGAAAAATACGGTATCTAAAAAAATACTATGGGTAATTCAACTGAAGTGGGCGAATATGGGGACCAGAATGAAAATCAAAATAGTACTTATAGCTCATGGGTTAAAAATATCTATATTGCCTACTTACTTCATATAATTTCTCATCAGACACAGCAACATGTGTAGATTTCACCCAGTGCAGGACGAAAACATCCCAAAGTTCAAAAAAGGCAGCAAGGTGGGCCACAATAGCATGTGGAAGTGAGTTGTGGTTGCCAGGATCTTTTAAGTTCAAAAGATAAAATTAAACCAAAGAAAATATGTACCGATATCTAGTGCAGGTTGCATTAACAGTACATTATTCAATCCATGAGTAGTCGTTAACGAAATAAAGAAGGTGTCTGCAATCTGTTCTTCTGATTTGTGGAAAGTTAACATGGTTTATAAATGTGCTATTCTTTTTCTCAGAAAATTACTAAATGTAAGGCGCACAAAGCTTGAATTGTACAATCAGAGGCAGCAAATGCAACCACCACTCCTCCCCACCACAGCTTGGGTGGATTCCCCAGAGATCTTTAAAAGTTACCACCAAACTATAATTTCAAATCTGGTAAGAGAGGAAAATTAATGGATAGGCAAAGAGAAATCCTATTAACTGCATTTAATTATTTCAGTTTAAATTATGCCAATTTTTTTTCTGGACCTATCTATTAAGCCCATCAGTCCTCAGTGTGGTGGTATGGGCAAAGAACTTTGGGTACAATATCGAATTAGAAAAATGGGAAAAATTGTGTGATAAGGACAGGAAACTTAACTTTGGCCACATCATACAAAGAGAACCTATATAAAATGTTCTATAGGTGGCACCTACCTCCAGCCAGACTAGCCAAAATATATAAAAAATTATCACCTAAATGCTGGAAATGTGATAAAACTCCAGGCACCTACTACATGTGGTGGCCATGTAGCAAAGCAAAAGGATATTGGCAAAGGATTCAAAGGTGGATGGAAGAAATGACTGGACAGAGATTGGAACTCAAACCAGAAATTTTCCTATTAGGAATTATCAAAGAGGGTTTAAGCAAAGGGTTAACATATTTAACACTACGTATCTTAACAGTTGCAAGAATAGTTTATACTCAGCAATGGAAGAGTGGAAACATACCTTAAAAAAGTGAAATAACAAAGAAAATACTTGATTGTGCAGAATATGATAGATTGACACTAGAACTGAAGAATACAGGAGAGACAGAGTACTATGAGATTTGGGATAGATTTTATCAGTGGTTGGATTTAAGGAAGGGAAGCCGGAACAAATAAGCACAAGAATGCATAGATTGAAATAAGAGGCAATATAGGTAATATATTATGTAATTGTAATTTTAAGCGTAATCATGTAGAAGAGGTTATATAATTAGTAAGTAGTAACGGGTATTGAATACACAAGAGATGTGTGTTGTACTCTGTATGGCAGAAAGATCGCCAAGATGATTTCACCATGTCCAAAGTTTTTTTTTTTTCTTTTAACAATAAAAGTTTTTCTATTAAAAAAAAATCATGAACTCCTGAATTCCCAATGGACTAAAATGAGAATATGCCAACTTGATGCTTTGTAAATTTTGGACAACACATACAAGTCTCTGCCAAGATTAGGTATTAAGAAAATTGTGCTTCAAACATCTGAAAAGTAGCAACCTGCATGTGTTTTTTTCCTTGACAGGATCAAGAACTATGCCACATTCTATCAAATGTTCATTCAAAAAAAAAAAAGCCTCCTTAGATATGGAATTTTATAAAGTTAAATCTACTTTCAACTATAGCTTCTTTATTCATTTCAGCCATTATGATTAGAAGACATATTAGGTTGCTGAATTTTCACGTATTAAAAGCAGAAGCATAACACATACCTTTATATAACTCTACAGATATCCTCAAAGCGCTAGTTCTGGTTTTTTTGATATTAATCAAACTTCTTTCAACATAACTCTTTCTCTCCCGGTTCAGAAACAGGATTGCCCTGTAATTACAACACAATACACAACAAATGTCACTGAAATTCTTGGAGTAGGAAACACACAACTCACAAAATAAATTTCATTATATCAATGTTGCACTAATATAATGCCAAATGTTCTAGGATATCACTACAATAAAATGGACCATGCCAACCAATTTATAATTTTTATAAGGCAACAGGAGAGTAGAAATGGGAGTATATTATTCTTTATGTGATAATCAACAATAATGAAAAGCAATTTATGAATTTTGGAGGATTTATTTTAGAACAGGAACATGCATTCACTCATAAATCATGTGAGGGATTCAGAAAAAAGCAATAGAACCCTGTTTTATTAAAAGTATGAGAATCAGAGGTGGTATTCAGCAGGTTCTGACCAGTTCTGAAAAATCAGTAGCAGAAATATTGAGTAGTTTGGCGAACCAGCAAATACCACCTCTTACTAACCCCACCCCCATCTATTCTCTGCCTCCTGAGTCCCAGCTGATTGGGAGGAAATGGGGATTTTGCAGTATCCTTCCCTTGCCTCACCCACCAAGTCACGCCAACCAAGCCATGCCCACAGAACCGGTAGTAAAATTTTTGAATCCCACCACTGATGAGAATATGGAAAACTGATTATAGGGGGTTTTTTTGGACATGTTTCTTTCTCTCATATACATGCCTGGTAATGGCAAGCTTTTAACTCTTCTGATAAAAAAAAAGTTACTCATAATTAAACTCACCGATTTGAAAGTGAGTTTAGAAGGATAAGCAGCTGGTTTGAATGTTCTGTATCACAACCGCCGGACTTGCTAATCGTATCCAAGCACTGCATGTTCCATCTTGGATCCATAGGAATCACATGCTCATCTAAAAAGATAAATGGCCAATGAGAAGACTGGTATGCTTATTTATGATCTCTCTGATACTATGAGATAGACACACTCTATTGAATGTGATATATGCCTGCAATTATATAGAGGTTAAAAATTTAAAAAAAACAAAACAGAAAACAAATGTATTTTACCCGACATTCAATTACTTCCTATGCCTAGTGTCAAAAGAAAAAGGGTTTTCCAAAAATATTCTTGTTTATTTAGCTCAATTTATTCTTCACCTCCTTTTTAACCAGAATATTCAGAAAGTGATTATAAAAGCTTTAAAAATCGCATTCCTGTTTCTTAGTGTTCATCAACTGAAAGCTTCAAGAGGAGAACACACAAAATATGCGCAGGGGAAAAGAAATAGTCTTACCGGTCATTTTTGGCTGCAGCATCTTTATTACATTGCCAATTCCACTTGAGAGGGGGCTGAAGTAGAAGTTATTCAGAGAGGCAGCACCTGCTTCCAGCTGAGTGTACACAGAATCTGCAGAGTAGTAGTAGTAATAGAATTGAAAGCTTAGGCTGAGATCAAGTCCACCAACTTTTAGCCAATATACCTGACTGTGTTTGCCAGAATATACCAATTCATTCCATTACATAACTATTTTACCTTTTTGTTCTAGGCAACAAACTAGGATAATATCCATCCATGCATCCACCCTTCCATGCATCCATCCATCCAGGTTGCCTTTCAGCATTACAAACATTACAATCACTAGAAGGTAAGAGCTGATACTTACCAGGTACTTCGGCTAAATTCGTTTTTATCTGATTAAGCCATCCAACTCTCAGTGTCCAGTCCTGATTGGTGGCTTTCTCTATGAATAACTTAACAGCTGCAGAAAGAACTTCTAAGTCATCCGCCCACGACTCATTCATCTCTACTGCAGCAAATTTGAGACAATCTGAATTTGCAGACCACAGAATTTTCTCAAAGTCACGTATATTTAGAGGAAATTTCCTGAAACAGAAGTTTTATTTATTTTTTAAAAAACAATGCAATAGAAAGGACACATTACCATCTCTATATAAATGCCAAAGATCTCCTTAAGAGTAAGTTCCTCCAATGGCACACTTTCCTATTGCAATTTCTCCCAATTTGATGGAGAAGATGCTACCCAAACCTTCAGAACCAATTGGGAGAATCCCCAGGAGGAGAAATCATTTTTAGTCAGTAATGAAGGAATAATGTCCAATGGGCAGGAATTACTGCATATAGCCAAATTAGGTATTACTTGATATTAAATGCTTAGATGCAAATAGGGCTTTCAACCCCACTACATCAAGATTTGAGACCTAATCCTTAACGATATTTTGCATTCTTAGTTACAATTAAGAAAGAGAAACCCTAATGAGAAATAATGTGTACACAGGGCTAAAAGTAGCCACAAATCTTAATATTATCTGTATTTTGTTATGATTTTGCTTTAAAAGCACACCTTCACACCTTATAGATGACAACCATGATATGTGGGGAGAGCCTGAAGGATGCCAATTTCCCCTTTCCCTTGATAGCATCTCTACATGCAACTATCCAGGGGGAAGGCTCTGTCATGCCTATAGTTAACCATACAGAGGCTTTCAACTGAGCTAAATTAGTTGAAGAAGACTCTGCAGTTGAAACTGAACATATAAAAGTCGCCCCTCCCCTCTTTTCAGGACATTCACACAGACACACCACCCCCCATTCCAATTCATACCTCCATAATTATATGGTGATTCCCCCAAAGCAGGGCCTGAAACATGTATTTCATTGTCACATATACATTTAACAGAATTAAAATGCCATTTAAATATACTCCACGGCTGGTACAAAGGAAGGCTATCATTTCAGGCAGAAGAGGACCAATGATATCAGCCTTCCCTGTATCTTACCACACACTCTTTTGGAGAACCAATTAGCCTATGTTTCAAATGCTATAGTCACTTACATACTTACTTATTTAATGTATGGCATACGTCAGGGAAATCTACAAATGCTAGAGACAATGCAGCCCTGACAGCCTTAAGTTTAGTTGTTGACAGCTTTGTTGAAATATATCTCCCAAATGAGAAGCCTTGAATAAACGTTTAATTATGTGATTACTTGCAAGATGCCCGTGTACTACCATGTTTCCTCAAAAATAAGAAAGGATCTCATTTTCTTTTGACCCCTGAAATAAGCGCTTGGCCTCATTTTCGGGAAGGCCTTATTATTTTTGAGGTGCAGGAGACAGCGAGCATGGTCACCTCATGGCTGCTGATGTGTTGCAATATTTTCAGGGAAGGCTTATTTTAGCACATGTGCTCAAAAGGCAGATTTGGGCTTATTATCCGGGGAGGTCTTATTTTCAGGGAAGCGGGTAAATTATTAATCCTCAGCCTTTGAATTGGCTTTATTTCGACAGAGAGGAAAGTAAAACTATATGTTTCCACTTGGTACAGATTTAATGTTGTTTTAAAAACTGAGCTGTGGTATTTTCCATTAAGATGTAACTCGTAATTCCCTATGATAAAAAAAAAATCTCATCTTTGTGCTATTTCTTATCTTTGTTTCAGCTTGCTTTTCTTTCCACTTTTCTTTTCTTTCTATTTGCTACTTGTTCGGTGGTATTTTTAGGATTTTTAAATATATTGTTTTGGTTGAATTGTGTACAGGACTTAGAAGTTCTGGTGAACTTCTTTTTGAAGAAAAATTCCAGCTGGTTTCTGTAGAGCAGGAGTGTCCAAACCTTAGCAACTTAGTTGGTTTGGAATTCTGGGTGTTGAAGTCCTCAAATCTTAAAGTTGCCAAAGTTGGACACCCCTGCTGTAGAGTTATTAGGGATGGGTTCTTTCTCCGGAGCCAGAAAATGATCATCAGCCAGAATTACCGTATTTTTCAGAGTATAAGATGCTCTGGAGTATAAGACACACCTTAGTGCTTGGGTAGGAAAATAAGAATAAAAAAAATTCTGCCTCTGCCCACCAGCTGGTATTCAGCTGACACATGGTAACAAAATCAGCTAATGAACAGACATAGCAACTAAGTCCGCCAATGAGGGCTATTTGGACTCTGAAATTTGCTGTGTGAGCAACAAGGAGACAGGAAGGAGTCTAGCTTAGTTGAGAACTGAAAGTGAAACCGCTTGTGTTTTGCTTGTATTTACTGCTACCTTGGAAAACCTGCTTTTGGTAATGTATTGTATATTATTATTATTTTGAATCCTGCTGAATCAATTACTGTGCTTTCTGAATGCGATTGCTGCTGCAAACACTTCAGCACTTATTGCAGCCTGATTCAGCACTGCTAATTGGCGGCTGAATCAGACTGCAGGAGTACCCTTAACCAGCTGTTCCAGACTGCAGGAATTGCCACAGACCATCGCTGCCTCCATGCCTCACATTTTTGGCCTCTGGTGGGGTTGGGTGGGGCTATAAGCCTCAGTGTATAAGATGCACCCAAATTTTTGCCCTCTTTTTTTGGGGGGGAAGGTGCATCTTATACTCCGAAAAATATGATAATTCACCTAGGAATGTTAACCCAACAATTGCCAAATGAAACATTTCTTGCCCACCTGTTGCTTTTTAGATTCAGTCTGTTCAGGCAATAGGCTAGGACTTGCACATCACTATGAACTGTAGACAGCAGAGAATCTTCAGCTGCAAACACAGCACTGCAGGCAGAATCTGGCCATAATCCCAAGGCAAGGAGAGAAGTGTCCTTTGTTTCATCTGACTCCAATGTGGAAACATGCTTCATTATCAAATCAAGCACAAGCTAACGTACAAGGACATACAAAAGATTGCAAAAGAGGAGATTATACCAGACTTCCTCTATTGTAAAGTATGAAAAATGAAAGTGCTTTCATTGAACGGTGTGAAAATCAAGAGTTAGATAACATTACTTCAACAAACACACAATTCCTCTGCAGAGTCCCTGGTGCTCTCTAAGCTTGGTTGTTTCTTGCAGATGCTCTAATGCTCTAGCAAACCTCACTCCCTACTATCACTGATGATGTTACCTGGCTTGGTAATGAAACATCTGCAAGAAGACAATCAAACTTGCAAAATCTCTCCCCACCTCCCCTTTCAAGTCATGTTATCCCATTCTGAGCGCTTGGCAATCTGGTCACACTTATTACTGGTTGAAAATATATGATCGGTATTTTCAGTCTTACTATTTGTTCTCTGCTGGATTCCCCAGAAAGTCGATGGGTAAGCTAACGGGGAAGGTTACAACCTGCTGCCAAAAACATTCATTTTGGGGTGGGGTGAAGTGGGGGGGGGTGTTAAATGAAAGAAGTCCATGTCAAAGATTTTCGGCTCCATGAAAGCAGGCATGGAGCTCAAATCCTTCATGTCTGCTTGCATGAAGCTAAAATCCCTTCGCTGGGAACTCTTTCAGCCATCACCCAGAGATGAAGAACTGAAATCCAAGCAGGATTTCAGCTCTTGAGCAAAGAGAGCACAGTAAGGTAAGAAGGGCAGGTGCTTGGTGGGAGGATGGCATGGGGAAGATGTAGGCCACATAAGAGTGTTTCTCCACTCGGCTGGAAATCCTGCTTAGATTTTGGCAGGGAGGATTTACAGCTCCTGAGTGGAGAAACACAGCCTGCATCAGATCCCCCTGGGTCACCTCTACCTCCCCTAAAGCTGCCCACACTCATTACCTAGGACTTTGTCCACTTAACAATCTTAAGATCACTTAACAACTACAACCAGAAGTGCTGAGATTGCAGTAGTTGAGTAAACCAGTCATGTGACCTCTTATTTAATGACTGCTTTACCTCAACTATTGAGATCCCAGCCTCAATAGTGGTTGTAACACAAGAATTACTCCTATTATTATTCAGTTTGAGATCCCAATAATGCATTATAATTTAATGTTTTAGAAGAGCTAGACAGAGTAGGTCAATTTCTTAGATTCTAAGAAGAAATAGGGATAAATTCATGACATGCATTTTAAAATACGCAGCTGACCCAATTCTAACTGCCCCAGTCTTAAAAGTCTAATACATTTTAAGATAGATTCAAGTTATTTTAAGAAACTTTGGGATTAATCTTGAATAAAAAAGACATTCTACTTCCTTGGCTAATGTATTCGCTTTGTTATTGGATCCATTTTTGTCAGGTGTGTGAGAGTTAATGTTTGTGAAAACATGGGATACATTTGTAAACAAGCAAATTCTTTGTTTTTCTTCTACAAACCAGATTATATCTGAAAGCAGATTACCTTTTTGTCCTTTGGGGACTGCTGTGCAGATGCATAAACCTCCCAACATGCGTTGTAGAAACTCTTCGCTAGGCCAAGTCCTCGGTGCAACCGCTGCACAATCAGTGTGGCAGCGTGGATCAGAGTTGAAAGAGTATATGTGGAACCTAAAATGCAAAATGTCACCATCCGGTGAGCATGTTCACTATGCATTTGAGGAATATTTGCATTAAATAATAGAGAATGGTAACTATTTACGGTTGAAATGGTAAATAAATTACATGGTTTTCCCTTTTGTCTGTTATAATTTTTAAAAACTTTTTTTCTTAATGCACTTTTCATATTGATGTATTTCTGTCATAATTATTGTGTTTTGTTGTCTTTTACTTTTTTTGTTACTGTTTTAAAAGCAACATAAATTCGTGTTTTACTTCTGAACAGCAAAATAAGTAACTTAATTGTGTGCTATAAAGTTGGTTTCGATTCCTTCAACAACCACCACATAGCTGGATTTTTTACAGAAGTATCGGTCCTCCAAACTGGTTACCGTGTTTCCTCAAAAATAAGACAGGCTCTTATTTTCTTTTGCCCCTCCCCCCCCCCGAAATAAGCACTTGGCCTTATTTTCAGAGAGGTCTTATTATTTTGGAGGTGCAGAGGCAGCGAGCATGGTCACCTCATGGCTGCTGTTGTGTTGCAATATTTTTGGGGAGGTCTTATTATCTGGGGAGGTCTTATTTTCAGGGAAACAGGGTGATTCTTCCAATGTCGTACCCATTGCTGGTTGTCTTTTTCTTCTTTTTCCTTCCATCTTTTCCAGCATTATAAACAAAACTTTGAGCCTGGTTATTTACACTAAAGTGAGAACTCTGTGTTGATTAATAGCTTATAAAATGTGCTTCACATACCTGGTCTTTTTAAAGAACCCTCAAACACAGGGGTGTCATGCACAGGACACGCCCACCCAGCTATGCAAATAGGAAAAATTACGTGAAACATCACGTGACAGCAACGATATGCCACAAGTTTGACCTCCGTGCTCTAGTATATCTAAAGCTAAGAAATTTATCCATCGTCTGTCAAGTTACGATATGCGCATCTCACCTGCTAGAGTTTCCTTGGCTTCTGTGTGCACAGCTATGAGCGTTTCACATATACCATTTCCCAACAGCCCCAGGCCATGCAACAGCAGCTTCACATCATGAGTATCCAATGGATTTTCATGAGTATCCCCTGGAATATAGACTTCAACGCCACGATTCCGCATGGCTCGCGATATTTCCCCGTGTGAGGGATCCATCGAAAGAAAAAGTCTATTAACAAGAGCAGAACATCCAGCATCTTATTTTGTTGCTAAAATAGAGTGGGAGACGCAGTAGAAAAAGAGACAACTCAAGGACTTTGTAAGACACGTGCCCATGAAGCCTTTACTAAGTAGTTTCCTAAATCGCTCCACCCACCAATCTAAAATGCTTGTACATATGATGAATTTGCTACCATAGGTTAGACTATACTCCCATCGTTGCTTAATGTAAAACAGGCAATTTTTCCCCCCATTTGGGTCATTATTTAAGATTTTATGATTTGACAGCTGTTTTCTGCTCCAATTTTAATAGCTTCCTTCTTCTAGCCCTGGTGCCTTAACTACTAGACCAAATTGACCTTTCTGTTCTGTTTCTGTGCTTGGTATGGTAAAAGATCTCTAATGAAAATGAACGTCTGTGCACTTCCAAGATGAATGAAACCCAACTCTATATCTAATTTCAAAGGGATATTTATAAAAGATGGGAATTATTAATTCAAAAGACATTTCTACAAACGCTCAGTACCTGCTTAGGAACAGTACCTGAAATTCGGGTGAGGAACAACACTGGGAGTTACTCCATCTGTCACTCCTCTTTCACTCAAGGTCAGGACTCCTTCGGGTTCAAGCAGAGCATTCAAGCGGTCTAACACAGAAGGGCTGCAAGTTAAAAAGGGAAACCACAGCAACCTCAGTTAAGGTATGAAATGAATTCAAAAGAAATTCAGGAGGAAACAATACAGATATTTCATTTTTAAGAAACAGAAATCAGTCATCATTTTTAATCATTTATCAGCTTATTCACTGGTGAATTTTATTACTCTATATGCATATATAAAATAATGACATCTGCCTTGGAAGAATAAGATCCCATCTACCAACAAGACATCAGGGATGCTGAGAATGACCATCTTACTTCAACAATTTGTACATATGTGCCAGCTTGCATTATACAAGAATAATAGGGATGTGAGAAAATACAAAATATAGTTTCAGGTTTTTTCCCCCCTATAAAATGCAAGTCAGGTGTGAGATCAAAAGTGCTGAATAATCTGGTATCCTCAAGGATCTTTTTTGAGGCAAAACAGATTAAACCCCATATGAATCATTATCTAAGCTGCAGTAGAAATGGAGAGAAAATCTTGTTAAGAACTGAATGTTATACAATAATATTAGGAAAGTCTTTATGATACACCAGATGTTTAGTAGAACCATTTTCTGCCTTTTTTTTTTACAATAGTAGGTAAAAACAAAATTGTAATTCCTATAGTAATTTTACCTGCAGAAGTTTACATTGTCCATTAAAAGCCAGTCTCCAGCCTCTAAAGCCTGAACTAACATCCCATCAACCCATTCAAAAGTCCCATGGTTGTGGCTATTCATAAATTGAACTACTTGCAACTTGAAGTGACGAAACTCTTCCACAAGTGTTGAAAATTCTAGAATGAGAGTAGCCAAAAAAAGGTTTCAATATTTCTGTGCCCCAAGAAGCTGGCCTTCAACATTTTCAAACATTAGCCCTAAAAACTGTTGATCACAGAAAAAACAATATATGCATTTTGGTTAACCATCCTTATTTTCATTAGAATTTGTAATTGCTATGAAGCTGAAATGAAAACATAAGAGTAATGACTTTAGGAATATATATTGTCCTTTAAAAGAGCAATAGTTGCAATAAAGCAGCAAATTTGGCTCCTCAAATGAATAAACGCTCAAAACAAGGAAACAAAATGCTAACACATGCGCACGCACGCACACAATTATAAATTATATATTAATACTATAATATTAAAAAAGGCTTTGCCTTTCCTGCATACCTGACTTTGAAAATGAGTTGATCTTGGTAATGAGTTTCTGGACTAGCACAAGCACCCCTTCCAATTTATTCACCAATTCAATGGTTATATTTTGATTCCCTTCCCCAAGAGATTTGGGTTTGAAATTAAGAATGAAATTACTCCAGGAGCGCAAGAGACCTTCAGCATCCTCCTGGCACATGGTATGGAGGAGACTATCTCTTAGAAGGGTGCTGACCACATTCTCTACCTTTTCCAGTAAGAATTTCCACGGCCGAATGATGTCAACCTACAGAAGATATTAACACATCAGTCACAATTGCATCTGACTGCCATATTACAACTGGAGTTCAACTACTTATTCTGAATGAACGCTCTGTCTTCAAACAGAACTAACCTCACAATATGTACCGTATTTTTCGGAGTATAAGACGCACCAGAGTATAAGACACACCAAGGTTTTGAAGAGGCAAATTTTTTAAAAAAGGTTTTGCACTCTGCAAACCTTCCAAAATTGCCCTGTTATTCATGAAAACAGGCCCGTTTCCCCCCCACCAAAAAAGGCATGAATAGCCTTTAGGGGGCTTGCAGAGTGCTCCTGGGGGGGTGGGTATGGTTTCCCCAAAACAAGCAAAAATTGGCCCATTTTTTTTTTGCAAAAACTGGCCCATTTTTTGTCACAAAAATTGCATGCATAGCCTTTAGGAGGCTTATAGAGTACTCCTGGGGGCTCCCCCCCCCAAAAAAAAAATCAAGCAAAAAATAGCCCGTCTTTCACTCATTTCTGTCTTCCCCAGCCCCCAGGAGCTCTCTGAAAGCCTTCTACAGGCTCTGCACTGCCATTTTGGTGAAGGGGCTTGGTTTCGGGAGGCAAAAAATGCTGTATTCAGTGTATAAGACGCACCCAGATTTTCAGCCTCTTTTTTGAGGGAAAAGGTGCGTTTTATACTCGGAAAAATACGGTAGTTAAGGAAGTAGTTAGCCTTGTTAGCATGGACAAGGTTAAAGAAAAAGGTGGAACAGCTTCTGATCAGTGTTTCTCTTGTAGCCAACTTTCCCATCTTCCTTACAGACTAATGTAAAGTGCTTGTGGGATCCTTGGAGCTCTTTCAGCTTTGGTTGTTTCCTTGCAGATGTTTCATTATCCAACTAGGTAATATCACCAGTGGGCTGATGTTTAGCCCTGATAATGCTACTTAGTTGGATAATGAAACTTTGCAAGAAAACAACCAAATTCAGGGAGCACCAAGGACTCCACCATTAAACGGTATTCTTGTTTATTGTAACCCGATTATTAGAATGTGGGAGGCTATTCATTTTTGTTACACAACCACCCAAGCTACCAAAGACATGAATCCAGATTTCTTTGTGAAAAAAGAGACTTGGGAAATGAATATAAGATTCCCTTGGGTGGTAACATGAAACTTCAACAAATGTTTTTTGCCATTAGGAAACTGCTATTGATCGAGAAAAATAATTTCAAGAATTGCTCCCCATTATCATGGTCCCAGCCAATAAAGAAAGAAGGAAATTTGATTTGATTTAAATCACCCAATCCTTCAGGCAGAGTCAGCATAAAGATGACAGTTCTACCCTCCTACTGCAAAAGTAAGTTTTTGGGGCCATGGAAGCTTTTAAAACTTGCAGAAGAATATTGAGCCGTGGTGGCACAGTGGTTAGAATGCAGAACTGCAGGCTACTTCTGCTGGCTGCCAGCAATTTGCCAATTTGAGTCTCACCAGGCTCAGCCTTCCATCCTTCTGAGTTCGGTAAAATGAAGACCCAGATTTTTGGGGCTGTATGCTCACTCTGTAAACTGCTTAGAGAGGGCTGAAAAACACTGTGAGTAATAAGTAATAAGCCTATTACTATTCTCTGCTCCCTCCCCCAATTTTTGGCACAGCGCCAAGGCCCAACATCATCTAGCAGGATGTCTACAGCCCACAATTTTTTAAAAAATTACCTGTTCCTTCTCTATTCACACATATTATGGAACCTCTAGTTGTATCAATCCTATTTTATTTAAAAATGAATAAGAACTGCAAAAAATATAGAGTAAACACGTACTTGCTCAAATCCACCTAATAGCTCTGTAGTATCCATAGAACTGTTCATTGGCATAATTTTTAACTCATGGCCTGTTAGATATGCCAGTAACTGAAGCAGGCTGGTCTTGCCAGCAGCAGCTGGGCCCACCAAGATTACCATCCAGCTCATATGTACACATTTCATGATGGCTTCCAGAGGCTGTAGTGAATGGTGGAGAAGTGACAGATTTCTGCCTGGAGGCGGGACATAATTGGCGCGAGAGAGGATTGAGTAGCCAACCTTTGGGGAAAACAAATATAGCATTACTTTCATATGTAAATAGGGAGAAACAGAAAAGTCAACAAAGTAATAATACAGTAGTAATAGTTTTTACTTCCTTTTACCTGAATGTCATAAGGTGTGATGTAAAATTGCCTACTTCCTGTATAGGGGTTATAATTCTCCCCAAAAATGTCCTTGAAGAGAGACACTACCTAAATAGATAAAAAAGAAACAACCAAATAACATTCATATTGAATAATGCATTAACGAATAATGTTCATTCTCCCCCCGCCTTGCAATCTTCCTATGAACTATTATATAATGTCTTTATCCAAAACTTTTCTTTCCCAAAAGGACCATATGTAATCCTGTTGCAGACATTTAAAATCACCTGATTCAAGGTAATCTGTCTCATTTTTAATACTTGAGGTTGTTTATTGGCAGAAATTCTACAACTCAGAGAGTAAAATTTGACTGTGCTCATCTGAGATTAGTGTATGAAGTGTAACTGGCCCAGAATTGTGAATAATTTTAAAGGCTGATTTTTAAGGATCTAAGGAGTTGAATAATCTGTAAATTATTCCTTCAAGTCATAACTCAGATAAATTGCCAGTGCTTGGGAAGAAGACAGACCTCAATCACGCTATCATCAGATGAAGTTTTGGAAATTCCACGATCCAAGTGAACATATACAAAGAAACACATCTGAGTACATATGCAATTTTTCTTTTCACTAGGAGTAGGCAGCTTGGAGCCCTCCAAATGTTTTACTTCTTTATTGATGTTATATCCCACCAATTTGTTAAAGTAATTATTTGAAAAAACAAAAGCAAAGCTGGAATATAAAGATCTTCCCTGTTCTTCAAGGCCATATTATATACTCATTACAGAGACTTTTGGTATAAACTGCAAGAGGCTGAACCTCAGTCTCCAAGTCCAGTTTCCTTTTTACCAATACTATTTCTATCTTACCTAGATTTAATTTCAACTCATTCTCCCCAGATTAAATTTAGGCAATGATGACAGAAGGCTAACGATTATCCATTTCTGTGGACTTGAATGGCAAAGGGGCGCTAAAATTAATTATCACCAATGTATTGATGGCATCTAGTTCTAAAGCTCTAGATGACTTTCCCCAACAGATTTCATATAGGTATTGAACAGCATTTCTCATAAGACAGAACCATAAAAACCACCAAACAGCCATAGATTTCTTAGGAAGATTCAGATCTCAGTTTCAAGTCAGTATTAGCCATTCTACCTAGGAATCCTGGAATTGCTCCAATAGCACCAGCTTGAGAAATAGATGCTGTACGTTCTTTCTATGGTGTACCCAATGCACCAATACATATAATTAAATTCATGCTTGGGAGAAAAAAAAGGATGTCTTAACAAAAATCATTTTAAATTCTACAATTGAACACAGTACGGCAAATTCAGATATACAAGACATTAAAGCAAAATCCTAAAGTAAGCAAATAAATTCTCTCTGCTCTTTACCCTTTCTCTGTCTGTTTTTGTTCTCATTCTTTCTCCGTAGATCAAAAACATGTGTTTGCCAGGGTCATAAGTCTCAGGTGACTGGTCTTTAAGCATTAGCTGACACCATCGGAAAAGATCACGCAAGTTAAATTCCCAAGGTGCACCTTTATGTCCCCATTTCTTCTCAATTGTAATTTCTTGATCAATCTAAATAAAAGTACCAATGCAAAAGATTATGAATACCAATATGATTTAGTACTTCAAACTATATTAGAAAGCCATACCCCAGCATTACACTTAACACATAAAGAATCTCAATTTATAATCTTGTTATTTATCCCTCAATCAAGGAGCCATGAGGGTGCAGTGATTAGAATGCAGTATTGCCGGCTAACTCTGCCCATACCCAGGAGTTCAATCCTGTCCAGCTTAAAGTTGACTCAGATTTCCATCCCTCTGAGATCAGTAAAATGAAGATTCAAATTGTAGGGGGCCATATGCAGATTCTGTAATTCGCTTAGAGAGGGCTCTACACTACAAAGTGTACTAGAGCACTACAAAGCAGTATATAAGTCTATGTGCTACTGCTATTTATCTTATCACAGTTGGAGGCATTATATTTACCTTGTTGTTGAATTCAACCATCTTCTCAATTATTTCACTGTCAATGGCTGGAAAAAGAGTATTCCCAATGTATTCCATATCTGATGCAGAAAGTGGGTCTATATAAACCTGTGCCATTTTTAAGGGGGGGAAAGTATTATTATATACAGAAGACACATGTATTCTAAAGATATAATTGCTTTGGCAATGCTGAATTTAACAAAGACTTCCGTCAATATATTTAAATAAAAACACCTTACCACAAAGACAGCAAAAATTTAGCATTCAAGTTTATCTAGATGGTGTATTCATTTTAAAAGAAATGTTAAAACAAAAGGGACAGTGGAAGAAATTACGAACTTGCCTGTGTGAATCTGTTCAAAAATGACTTAGGTAATCCTTTTCTGCCACCTCCTTGCTTGTAGGGATTCTGGCATCCGAAGATCTTTGTCATCTTGTGTTGAACATGAAAAGTCATCCCCAATTCAGGTACATAAATCTCTGCCCGGTGGTCAAAACAGGCATTCAGGCCTTCTAACACTGACTGAGAAGCCAAGTTCAGCTATTTAAGACATATCAACATAAAAAGGTTACATTTGCCTTCTTTTTTTAAAAAAAAAAATCATACAATATGAATTTACTTTGGACCAGCGCAACCCACCTTACAGGGTTGTTGTTGTGGGGAAAACAGAAAGAGGAAGGAGTATGTTTGCCACCTCATCCAAAACTTTCGCTTGGATCTCTCTAATTCACTGACAATGGTGTGGTGTGGATGCCCCTGGATGCAGCAGGAACACCACTGCTGCATAGCAATCCCTGTAGATTTCCAGGTCGAATGAAAAATGCTGGTTATCACTTTTAAAGCCATACATGGCATGGAATGAGGTAATTTGCAGGACATCCATTTCCAATGGTTTCTGTATGTCCTATTACATCTGGGGTGTGGGTGTGCATGTAATAAGAGCCGAGGTGGCGCAGTGGTTAGGGTGCAGTACTGCAGGCCACTTCAGCTGACTGTTATCTGCAGTTCAGCGGTTCTAATCTCACCTGCTCAAGGTTGACTCAGCCTTCCATCCTTCCGAGGTGGGTGAAATGAGGACCCAGACTGACTGTGGGGGCGATATGCTGACTCTGTAAACCGCTTAGAGAGGGCTGAAAGCCCTATGAAGCGGTATACAAGTCTGCTATTGCTAATACTCCAAGTTCCTTCCATGTAGCAGTGTCACGTGATAGGACGATCTCCCACTCTCCAATATTAGAGAGCCTTAACAATATATGGGGAAAGACCATCACTCTACACTCTATATATAAACAGAAGCTGTACTCACTTCATCTAATACAATCCAGTGTCCTGCTTTCAGTGCTGCAAGCAATGGTCCATCACGCCAGGCAAATTCCCCACCTTTGCCTCCTTCAACAGGCAGGTCTGTGCCAAACAAATCTGTTATATCCTGATTAACAAGAAGAGAGATGGCAAGCTTTACAAATATGAAATGGTGGCAATTAAAAAAAAATCCATCCAGGCATGCAAACAAAAAATAATCAGTAATACTGTATTGGAGAAAAAAAAAATTAATCTAGATTTTCTTTTCAATCGGTGAATACCATATACACATAAACGCACCAGTATTCCAGTCTAGCTGACTTTGCATGTTTTCACAACATTTTAAAAGTTTCTGGACATTGCAACTAACACTTTGGGAGACTCATGTACCTTGGCTGCAATGTCTAGAAACTTCAAAATGTTGTTACCCACTTGTAATTTTTAAGACCGTGATAATTAAACATTGGAGAGAAATTGTGCCAAGTCCAATTATTTTTTTAAAAAACTCAATGATTTGATTTTTATCCCTTTATTACATTTTAAGTAACTCTACTTGGGAGAACATATTTAATACTCCTTCCTCTTATTTTCTTCAGAACACTGTGAGGTAGCTTAGGCTAAGAGAGACAGTAATTGGCCCTAAGTCACCCAGCTGGCTTTCATGCTTAAAGCAGGATTAGAAATCCAGTCTTCTGGTTTCTAGGCCAGCACCTTAAGACACTAGATCAAATGAAAAATTTAAATTATGTCCTGATTTAATCCTCTACTTTGGGAATGTGATCCTTAGCATGCCACTCAAATGCTAGGAACAGTTTTGAGATGGAAAAAAAAAGTTGGGACAACTTTGCTGAACATCCGCAGTTCCTACAACTTCTGGTAAAGAATATAAGAAGCACTGATAAATAGCCATAATAGTAAGTAAGGATATCTGCAGCTTACAATACTTGATATATCTGGCTTTCCATTGAAAGCTCCTGCCTCACTCTTTATTGTAAGTATAATTTTGTTGTTATTGTTATGGCATAGCAGGATATTTAGGCTAAGATATGAAAAAAAGCACCCTGGCCTCAGTGAGATTAATAATTGTATCATTATAATATAGAATATTTCAAATAATTGTTTCCGAAAAGCTGAGCAGAGCAGAGTCTATTGTGCATGTGAAAAGAAAACAGAAAACTCTGGGGAAATTGTGAAGATGAGATTATTTTTCCCCAGGAGCCAAAAGATCCAAAATGCTAGATAAAAGCCGAGGTGGCACAGTGGTTAAATGCAGCACTGCAGGCTACTTCAGCTGACTGCAGTTCTGCAGTTCAAATCTCACCAGGCTCAGGGTTGACTCAGCCTTCCATCCTTCCGAGGTGGGTAAAATGAGGACCCTGATTGTTGGGGGCAATATGCTGACTCTGTAAACTGCTTAGAGAGGGCTGAAAGCCCTATGAAGCGGTATATAAGTCTAACTGCTATTGCTATTGCTCTAAAGCAGGAATATCATTCATTTACTTAACATGTTTCTAAGTTTCCTTCTTCAGTGAGCAGCATTTCAAGACTTAAGAGGACTCTTGACATTAGTAAAAGTTTTTTTTTTCGTGGTCAGAAATGCCAAGCTGCACCACAGCTGTCTACCTACTGTTTGTTCAGAGAGATTGATTCGACTGAGGCAATTTCCTGAAGCCTTGGCCAGGGCAGCCACTAAGCTCGTCTTTCCAACCCCTGGAGAACCTTCCAAGAGAATAGGTTTGCTTAGCTGCAGGGCTCGCAACAACCGCTGTGCGTTCATTGAAGTGGTCCCTGCGTTTAGAGCATAGTCCTCCAGATTGTTCTTCTGGTAAAGTGGGCCTGCGGTTAAAAACAAAGATGACAGACTAAAATAATGACGAAGCGACGTATGGAAAACTCCTGTTCCAACATTTCAAATAATCAATCATGCCCTTCTCTAGGATATTCTGTTTTATTTCCCCCCATCCCTGATTTTTATTCCATTTGACCTTTTAGCTATATCCATTGAGAAAGCTCCGTTCTCAGGGGGGCAATTTTGGAGTTTCCTGAGACTTCAAGATCTATTTCCTCTACTTAAGATTCCCTCACCTTATATGTGACTAGTATATATCGACCGCTCCTGCTGATCACCTCCCATAGACCGATTAGATCACACAAGTTAGGTCTCCTCCGGATCCCATCTGCCAGCCAATGTCGGCTGGTGACTCCCCGGGGGAGAGCCTTCTCTGTCGCAGCTCCAGCCCTCTGGAACGATCTCCCCGTGGAGATCCGGACCCTTACTACCCTCCTGGCCTTCCGCAAAGCCGTTAAGTCCTGGCTGCTCCAGCAGGCCGGGGGGCTCTCGAAATATCCAGCCCCTCGGAAATTGTGACTGTTGTATATTTTAATATGTTGTTTTGTGTATTATCCCCCTCCCTTGTTTTATTGTAAGCCGCCCGGAGTCCTTCGGGAGTGGGCGGCATACAAAATCAATAAAACTAAACTAAACTAGTAGTCATTAACTACATAAAGCAACAATGAAATGCTTGAAAATCAAAGAACATTTTTTATTACAGATAGGAGAATCAAATGTTTGAACATTCTCTCATTAATTCACCCATAATGCCATGCATATTGAAAACCAGCACCCCAAAGAGAAAGCTAAAAGCATTCTTCTTGACATTTTATCTTCTAATTTGCAGAGGAGGCATATTTTTACACAGGGAATCGTGCAAATGTTCTTTCCTTCCTTCCTTCCTTCCTTCCTTCCTTCCTTCCTTCCTTCCTTCCTTCCTTCCTTCCTTCATCTTGTCTTCATTACTTTATAGGTAATTCAGGATGGTGAATGTACATTATATTCCTTCTTCCCCCTATTTTTCCCACAACAACCACCTAGACAATTGAGAGGACCTTTCCACAACATTTTTTTCTCTATGTCTAAACAAGAGCTTGTCATTTCATACAGTCCGCTGTCAGGTCAGTAAATTTGTAAAAACAGATTCTTGCCTCTTGGTATATAAAATGGATGGATCCCAACATAACTCTCCATCCAAGCCATTTCCCTTTCTCTTTCCAGATCGTACATTCTCAGTTCAATCCTCTGATCATCGCTGAGTCGCACAATTTGAGAAATTTTTCTACGTAAATAATTCAGACATTTTTCACGAGCCAGAGCGGTCGAACCAGAAGAACAGGACATTGTGCCTACATAAAAAAAAAAGGAATCAGTGAGAGAGTGTTTATACAACATTTTAAACTGACCGTTACTGAAAAATATGAATGCTTTTTAAAACCAGTCCTATGCCTACAACTAAAATAGATTCATAGTAAACTTGTAAAAACCAAAACACTCAGCAATTTAAAATTATAATGATGTATCATTCATAGGATCTTAAGGACAAGGAAACATGTGGACAAATATGTCCTCGGTCAGGCAAAAGCATTTCAATATAGAAACTCACCTAAGCTCCAATGGAAGTTTGTTCCATAAAGTGGGCAGGCAATACTAATGACGCCCACCTCTACTCTACTAATAAGTTATGGTATTTCAGTTTAGATCATCCAGATAATGTCTACTGCAAAGGATTCTTCCCCTGCACCCGACCTTCCAACCACCTCACTGATCTACTTATGACTGCATGTTACAGAGCCACCCAACTCCTTCCTTTGTATTCTGCACCTAGGCACATACAATGATTCTGACTCTATCCAGTATTCACACTTCCACAAACATGCCCCATGCATAATAATTCGTTTAGACGTGTCAGCCCTATTAGTACATATACAGGTAGTCCTCGACTTACGACCACAACTGAGCCCAGAATTTATGTTGCTAAGTGAGAACTTTGTTAAGTGAGTTTTATCCCATTTTTACACATTTTTGGCACATTTGTTAAGTGAGTCGCTGCAGTTTTTAAATTAGTAACACGGTTGTTAGGTAAATCTGGCTTCCCCGTTGACTTTGCTTGTCACAAAAGAGAATCACATGACTCGGGGGACACTGCAACCGTCATAAATCTGAGTCAGTTGTCAAGCATTCAAATGTAAATCGCATGACCATGGGGTTGTTGCAACAGTCTAAGTGTGGATAACGTCAGTGCCAGTGTAACTTTGGTCACTAAACTATTGTAAGTCGAGGACTACCTGTACAGTTGTCCCAATTTACTAGTTTCAAGTCTAGAAAGTGTTTAACTAAGGCAAGCTGTCTCCACTCCATTCTGCCATGAAGGAAAAGCCAGGAGGTTTACCTGAGCCAATACCATCAATATATACGAGACATGCAGCATGGACGAAGGTCAGCACTGGAGAAACGCAGAAGAACTGGTGTTCCTCTGGACCACCAAGCAGTCTGTCTTGTGCCATAACATTCATGAAATTGACCCAGGACAAAATATTCCGGATGCTGAGAATACAATTATGCCCAAACTCTTGATTACTCAGCCAATCTATGAAATCCATCATGAGTTTCGCTATATCCATTCCTATGACAACCAGGAAGGGAAAGATGAAAATACAAGAATGATATACCGTAAATACATACAGGAAAAAGGGTACTTAAAAAAAACACAAGCCAATAACCAGAAAACTAATATGGAAAGACAAAGATAAAGGGCTGAAAAGTTTAAATGCCTATAAAATACAGTCAAAACATTTCTTAGCAAAAACGCAAGGGACTAGTCGTTTGTTGAAAACTAGCTCCCTTAAGATTGGGGATTAAGCATTTTTTTGGTGAGATTTACCTTCTTCATTTTTTGTGGATAGGCAGAGGCCTGGATAAAGATTGTGCTTAACGATCTGCATTAAATCCTCACGGCTATTACTTTGCGGACACCATATTTCAGTAAACCGATTACGCAGGGCAGGCGATAGCTGTAGGCAAGAAAATGTAGCTGAAGTTAGCATATTACAGCTATAGTTCATTAGCTTATTGTCAGAAAGACTCTTAAAAGAAATGACTGATTTAAAAAAAAAAAGACATAGAGAGAGAGAAGGGATCAACATACTTTGTTGGTTCTGACAACCATGTCGATATCACACATGCAATAAAGCATAAGCAATTCTTCAAATTGTAACATCACAACATACAATTGGCATGATGGCAATCGTAACACAGAGCTAAACTAACTCTCATTACCTCTTTCTTCCCAAAGTCGCCCCCAGGATTCATTGTAGCTAAAATACGAAATTTCTTTCCAGCGGTCAGCAGCTCAATTTCGCTGTCCTCGCTAGCCTTCTCTGCGATCACCAGTGTTTTTTCAGTTTCCAGGACGCTAGAAGAAAAGAAGGATGGCTGAATTACTGTACTGCACTAGACACAGTGGGGACATTTGTGGCACCTTAAAATTAACCAGCTAAATACGGTATACATTCAATATTTTTCCAAGTAACTATAAATCCTAGCCGCTTGCCAATAAAGCAAAACAGAACAAAACAGAAGCAAAAGTCTAGTAAATAAGCAAGATTTGATAATCTTATCAATCAGAAGAAGCTGGAATACGACATTGCAGTATTAAATCTGCCTTAGTGATGAACGCATCAAGAAAAGCAAGATTGAAATGTCCCGTTTTCAGGCACGCACCTATTAAGTCTTTCTAGCACAGAATCGTCTGCTAAGGAAATCTCATCCATGAGAAAAAAGCCATCCTCTCTCATTGCTAGAACAAGAGCTCCGTCGTGCCATTCGAAGAGCCTAGAACTGTCAACTTCATCCTATTGGGAAAAAAAGGAGAAAGGAGATTTAGCACAAACATTGGAGTTAAGTTCTTAGTTGTACTCAGCGTCTTATAGCTCAGCAGTCTCCAACCTTGGCAAGTTTCAGACTTGTGAACTTCAATTCCCAGAATTCCTCAGCCAGCAAATCTAGCTGAGGAACTCTGGGAGTTGAAGTCCACAAGTCTTAAAGTTGTCAAGGACGGAGACCCCTGTTGTAACCAACTGACCTTATCCTTTGAATGCTGTCTAACTGGCCGTAGTCCTCCCAGGAAGTCTGATGTCTCCATGTGCAAATGGCAATTCACAGAATACAACTTCTGATTTGCTACAGCTGCAAAGATCTGACAAATAGTTGTTTTGCCACACCTGCATAGGAAAATTGGTAAAGACAATTTCATTAAGCTTATTGTCATCTTAGTGGTTGATATGATGGCTAGTGTCCATTAGAGTGGAGATTGAACGTCAAAGTGAAAAGCGCCACTCCACAGGGAAGAACAGGGCAAGAATGCAATGGGAGAAGGCACATCAGGTTTTGAGCTGCAGGTTCTTCAAAAAAATATTTTTTTACTACTATCTTAAACCTTATTTTACAAGCTATTTCATGTTCTTCCATCTTCAAAGCACAAAGCCATGCTGCCATTTTTTTAACATTTAAAAGCCAATAAAAATAGAAATAAAATAAATCAAGAGCCACCGACAACTAGGGAGCCTTCGGTTTCCCACATGCGGTTTTATGCTCTGTGGCTCAGTTCAAAACTGAGATTAGCAAAGAAGAGAATCATTTACCCTGTATCTCCAACCAATAGTACGGGTTCACCAAACTCCAAAGCTCGGCCTGCCAAGACCGCAAGTCTCCTCATTCCTTGAGTCCATACAATGTGATTGAATTCCTCATCCATTCTAGGTAGCCCAGCAGCTGATGCAAAGGAGATTTTAAATAGAAATAAACAGAGCAAGAAACTAGAAATGAAGGAACACCAACCAAGCATTAAATTATTCTAATAAATCCTGAGACTGAAAATAAAATACTAATTCCCATTTAGGAAATTTATATTAAAATGTCCACTGTAATCACAATGGTAATTAAAATCCATTATTACAAACTTGAATTTCCCTTGTGACAAGATCACTGCATTTCTTTGTGACCGATTATTAATTGCATCAAAGGAAGGGCAAAATTGCTATCTGCAACATTAGCCTATATATTTCAGTATGTAAATTATTGAATAACCAAGAATCAATTCTGCAAGCTGACCTAGCTGTTTTTTCACACTTTCTTCTGAGAAGAGATACTGGGGATCCAATTTTCTTTTAAAATATTTTTCAATGACAGTTTGAATAATGTCCACTTCTTCTTGCTTTCTGACTCTTCCTGCCAAAAGCATAAATCCTAAGAATAAAGACACAAGGATAATGATTACTTTTTTTAAAAAAAGAGAGAGAGACAGGCTGTTTGGAGTAGTGGTTAAGGTGCTGGCCCAGAAATCGGAAGGCTGAGTTCTAGTCCTGCCTTGGCCATGAAAATCAGTTGGGTGACTTTGGGCCAGCCACTTTTTTTCAAACCCAACCCATCTCGCGAGAGTTGTTACTGTGGGGAAAATTGGAAGGAAAGAGAATTATGTACGTTTGCTGCCTGAAGTTTTTATAAAATAAGAAAGGTGGGAGAAAAATGTAATAAATAAATATATAGTGGCTTTTGATATTTTGTTTACCAAATGAGAGAGGGAGGGAGAGGGAGGGAGTGAGTGAGAGAGAGAGACAGACAGACAGACAGAGAACTGTAAAGAGGAGGGAAGTCTCACCATCATTAGCTAAATGCTGAAGCCAGTCATAGTCTTTCACTGTCTGTTCTGCTAATCGGTACCTTTCTGCCCAGCGAAACAGGTCACGGAGAGTAATGAAGCCATGCTTGCCTGCAAACACTGATGAACCTCTGCGATAAGACTAAAGAAACCAACAAAGCAAGAGCTTTCTATCCAATATTGTATTATGTGCCCACAATCATTTCTTCAGATGCGTTGGAGTACCTTATCCTTCCCGCCACATTCCCCAGATTGGCCTATCGGCTCAATTTAAAGGCCTCTTTTGCCCAGTGTGTCTTAGCAGCTATTCACTGGAATTCTCATTATGGGCAGCGAGGAACTCCTAAGTAAGATGCAGATACCCTGTATGAGATCTGTGAGAAACAGCCGCTCAAATGGGATTTTGGACCATCTGCTAAAGGTTCTTTTTAATAGATATCCAAGAGCAAGGGTCTGGGGAATGCCAGAAACTGGGCCGCGCAAACAAGCAAAGCCCCATCTGAGGGATGCAGGCAACAAGCAAAACCACAACCCCTCCAGTCCACGGGAAAAATATCTCTATGGAACTGGCCCTGGTGCCCAAAACGTTGGGTGCCTCTCTCCTAGAAGCTTACAAGAGAGTGATACTTTATCTCCTACTACTCAGGCAAGGCAGAGATCATGTGATCTAGATAGTAGCACAAGCAGTTGTTTCCTTTGGTTTCATTTAGTGGCTGAGCCCAAAATCTAATATAGTTTAAGGGTGTCATTGAACAGGGAAAATGACAAGAAAATAAATCCCCCACAAACTGGGCCTACCACAAGCTGAAGCATACCAAACAAGCGTGAAATGGATGAGAGGGGAGAAGAGTGCATTCTCTTCTCTTCCCTGTGTAACCAAATTTATTTCTCACATTTATATAACTGTCCATCAGACAGTTTTCCTCCTTGGAAAAGATGTACTTGAAATTCAATTCAGCCTACTCTGTTTGCTTCCTCTTAAGAAAACAGAACAGTAATTAGCAATAATAATAATTAGCAATACCTGTAGTTCCAGCATGACTTTGATCAATTTGCTACAGTAAGAAGGTGGAAGCTGGCATCTTTTGTGCAAAATGTTTTCCAATTCTGTACTGGGTAACTCATCAAAATGCAGCTCCACAAATCTATTTCTGAAGGCTCTAGATAAAATCTATATAAAAAAAAGATTTTAATTGAAACAGTGTCCCTGGAACTTCTATCAGTAAAAAATAAAATAAAACATTTGTTCTTTATGTCTATCAACAATCGTTCAAAGAAGATCGGCAGTTATTTTTTGTCTATGAAAGATTTCGAATTTATGGTGAAATATCCATTCTATGGAAGTTAAGAAAATGCACACCTTATATACGTGCTTCTTTTATGTTATAGCAAAAGAGCAATAAATATACTGAGATTAAAGCATATGTATGTTTTCAGCAAACTGTTAATAAACATGGAAAGGAGCTGTCCAGAAATAAAAACTATGTTACAAATACTTATAGATCGGGCAGTTCTCTCAGATCAGGAACATGCTCTTGTTTATCACACTTAATTTAAAAAATCACTTTCAGTTTTTCTGTCTGTATTGTCTTTATCATACTGGTAGTGATTTCAGTGTTTAATTAGAGAAGTGTATAACTTTTACATTGGCATTCTTCAACTAGCTATTGGAATAACTCTCATTGGTCAGTACATGTTAAAATGGTTACACAAATACCAGTAAAAAAATCTTTTCTCAGATACTTTCCAGCTATTCTCAACATCAAGTCTGGTCTTATTAAAGATTTACAAGCAGTAAAATAGAAACAGGATTGGCAGCAGTGCTTTTTATATGGTCTGTTCCCTTTGTTAACATATTTCAATATACTGTCTTATCACTCTCATTCCTCAGCAACCTGTGGTCACAAAAATACCCAGACCTCACTTGGAAGGTATTTTAATATGTATATATTACATGCATGCATATATACATATATGTAAGTGTGTGTGTATGTGTATACACATATATACTTTCAGGGTATAAAATGCTAATTTGGTCACAAAAAGGGACAGCTATTGTCACATGCTTGCTATGTATATGCTATATATCTTAGTAAGTACAGAAACATGAAGAATTAATGATCTTAGGACAGTCAACAAACCTTCCTGCCTCCATAGAGGCCTGGAGGATTCTGGGTTGCAAACAGCATGAATCGTGGATGAGCTTTGATGGTTTCTTGAGTCTCCGTAATGAACAGCTCTCTGTTGTCATCTAACAATCTGTTCAGTGCCTCTAAAACGTCGGTAGGTGCCAAGTTCAGTTCATCTAAGATAACCCAGTATCCCTTTCGCATGGCATCAATGAGGACACCTTTAAAGCAATTACCAAACAGCATGTGTGTGTATTTTATTTACACTCTGCAATGAGAAGCAGTGAAAAAATCTTTTTTGGGGGGGAGGGGGGAATCAAAGAATCAGAGTGGGAAGGGACTTTAGAAGACATCAAGTTCAACACCCTATCCAGTGCAGTATTCACTAGAGCAGTATTTCTTAACCTCAACAACTTTATGATAGGTGAACTTGAGCTCCCAGAATTCCCCATTCATGCTGTCTGGAAAATTCTGGAATTTGAAGTCCATCCATCTTAAAAGTTGCTTAGAATGAGTATCCACTGGAACACTTTGCCTCCATAATACATGATGGTTCTTTCAGTAGCCTTTAGAGTTTGAAGGTTGTTTTTCTGAAGAGTGAATAGGTATAAGTGTTAAGGTGGGTTGAATAATTACTACTGTACCTTTTTGTCCTTGGTTGTTGTTTTTATCTTATCACTAATGGAGACCTGTTATACACTCAAGAGTCAGACATGCCTAGAGTAGCATATAAACCTGATATTAATCAGTCCATCAATCCTATGACAGATTGACTATTCTCCCCGTTTCAAACTCTCCAATACAAGAGAATTCATCACTTTGAGTTTGCTCTAATGGGGACAGCTTGTAATTAAGAAATTCTTCCTGATGTATAGTCTAAAACTATTTCCTTATAAATTTTAATCTCCTGATTCTGGCCCTGCCTTCTAAGATCACAGAGAGTAAGTTCATTTCCTCTTGCAGTTACTTTGCATACAAATCCAAATATCAGTTACTCTGTAAAAATAGAACAATCCACTTCAACAATTTATTAGTATCAACTAAACCACTCCACAGCCTCATGAGAGTAATTTTAATGGAACTCAATTGATTTTCTAATAATGTCAAGAAAGAAAGAAAAAACAAAACTGTAACCCCAGAAATTGCAACCTAAAAGTAGCATCCCATGAATCTGTAGTGGCTTATTTTTAAGTAGAAATGCACTTTATACCCTTTCGAACTCACCTATCACATTATTGCCACTCTCTGGATTCTAACATCTGCTGCCTGCTGAAAAGTATCACACTATTACTGGCTACCTTAATCGCTGCAGGAGTACAACAAAGGAGAAATGAGTGACACAGCTCAGATCTGCAGAAGCTCACTGGAAGCAACTTACTATTAGTTGGTTGTGCAACACCCAAATAATCAGTATAAATCACCGATTTGATTTAACGAATTAACAACTATATACAAAGGTTATCCGAATTACTAAACTAGATTGATGTTTCAAGTTTAATTTGAAAGAAATAGTTGTGCATGCCAATTTGTAAGCACCCAGTCTGATATATTGACCACACACTTGAAGATTCATTTCAAAGGGATAATTTTACTGAATCACTTTTGAACGGAATATTTGAAATGCGTATCTGCAAAATCCTTCCTGTTCCCATTTTTTCTTTCCAGTCTAACAGCCAATTTGCAAGCCTATCTGCCAGCAGAATGCATTTATTTTCAGGAACAGATCACTTCTCATAGAACAGAACAGTTTTCACTAAACATGAGCTACCATCCATGCTCTAAAAGTAATGCTAAAGCAAAAACAACTTCATTAATCCTGTAGAGTACAACAGGGGTATAAATAATAATAGTACAAATAATAAGAGTTTTGCAATCTTTGAGATAACATTCAATATAACCCTTGCTGGAAAAAAAAAAAGAATGGCTAAGAAATTTGCAGAGCAGCCATAGTCCTACCTTCCTTAAAAATCAGCTTTCCAGATATATCTGATGTGTAACAGCCTATATACTCCTGAATGTCAGTATGCTCATGATTATTAATCCGAACACAGTGATTTCCACTTGCAGCAGCCAACCATCTGATTAAGCTGGTTTTACCAACGGAAGTATCTCCTTGAATCAGAACAGGGTATGTCCTTGAAGAATTAGCAGATCATAAAGTTAGAGATAAGATTTTACAGTCGCCAAGAACTTTATAGAAAAATTCCTCTTTGTTTAATTGTTTTCACAGTCTTACTACATATGTTGCTTAAAATAGCTTTCAAACAATGATTTCATGTTATTGCTACCAACAAGATCTAAAGTTGATATCGAGAAATATGTTGCATTAAACAAAGTCAGTGCTACTTTTAGGTGTCAAATTAAATGAAAACTATTTTCACAGAACAGAAAAGGGAAGAATTAAATCCAACGTACCCAGCTGATACAACTCGGACAATATCTTTGAGGTTAAGTTTGACTGAAGGTGTGAGAATATAAGTCTCATCAATAGTAGGTTCGTTATCACCAGCTGAAATCCAGTATCCTTCTATTTTTATCATTTTGCCTCCTTTAGGCTCTGGTAAGGACTAAAATGGGGCCATAAAAATATAACTAATTTAAGCTATCGACAGACCTTCTTAAAACATCATAGTGTTGCATTTCCCCCTTATGAAAACTACGTAACTTTTATTCTAGCCACCTAGATATAATATGAATAATAATCTCAAATCACATCTATTCTTCATGGGCCTATGTAACAGGAAGGAAATATTGCAAGAAAATCCAAGTAAATAGAATAAAGCAAGATGTAATCAGTATAATTACAAGATTAAAGCTCCACTGTAAGGCTATGCACAAAGCATAAAACCCACTGCATTCTTATCTCGGAACAAAATGGCTCCCTTTGGAATTAAAAGAGATATTCAAAAACTCTTTCAGCATAATGGTTCATCCTAGCAGTATAAACGTTTTTGGGGTAGTAGTCTCTTATGAATGCTATCTACACTCTAGCTATAGCAGCAAATGTTATCCACATCCTAATTTTTGTTTGCTATCAATACATACATTCAAAAATAATCTCTTTGGACAATTTTTCCATAGTTTAGATGGAGCACAACACCCAGTATGGATTGAATCTTGCCTACATTTGTGGTTGAAGGTTGAAAAGTAAGAGCATAATGAGCTTCTTTCACTTTCTGTAATAGAACACTTGGAAACAATATAAACAAAATGCCTCCGTTTATCTTGGGCTGCGATAAAACACTGAAACAATGGTGCTTTATTCTCAAAACGGGCTTTCAGAGCTCAGTGCATTTACTATGAGAGGATATTCTTCATTTCAACAGCAAAATATTAATTCTAATTAGTCGAGGAATACTTGCCTGCTTTAGACATTTTGTGTTTCCAAACAAAATATGATGACATATGAAATGCTGAACAACTGGGTAAGAGTTTCTATCAAGCTGAGTAAGAAAACCCAAGCAAAAGCCCTATAAGAAGAAGCAAAAAATTGAAATGCATTATTGGTAGGTGTGAGAGGGGGATGCTCATATAATTTTAAGTGTTAAGGTGAAAAAATATTGAATGCTTTCCGATTACCGTTCTCAATGTTCAGGAACAAAGAAAACAAGAATAATCACCTCATAAAGCGAGCGCTGGATATTGATGCACGGATTGGATGATGCAAACTTCAAAGCTCTGCACAAGGTGCGAAGGCTATAATGAGGCTTACGGCCCGTCCCATCCACCAGTTTTGATTCACACTCTTTTCTCACTGTCAGATAGAAGCTACAAATGAAAAGAAAAGAATAAATAACTTGGTTTCTCTGGCCTTGACATCAACATCTTCATGAAATTTGAAGTTGCCAAATGTTTCAGACTCATAGAAACAACATAGAACACCAAAAAGCATCCAGGATAAAATAATATAACCCTTAACCACCCAACAAAACCTTAACACAACAGTCCTAAACAAAAACAGATCCAAAAATTACAATACAAGGTTTCTGAATTGTTATAATTGTTGAAATAGGTACAAAGAGTAAACCAATATACAGCATTTGACTTACTTGATGATCCCATGAACTATGGTTTTGCTCACATTTAGCCCTTTCAGATAATCCATTATAAGAATATATAAATCATCTTCATTCTGTAATTCTTCTATGTAGATTTCAGTAAATCTGTAAGGTGACAATACATTTAAAAGTTCAAGGTACCATCATGCCAAGTCATACTAATCTAAAACTAAAGATTAAACATCAATCTGCCAATCACAATATAAAAGTGTTACATGGTAATACAAATTCTAACATGTCACCGAGGAACATAGCAATAGCACTTAAGACTTTTATACTGCTCCATACTGCTTTACAGCACTCTCTAAGTGGTTTTCAAATGTCAGGATATTGCCCCCAACAATCTAGATCCTCATTTTACCAACCTTAGAAGGATGAAAGGCTGAGTCAACTTAAACCCATCAGGATCAAACTCCAGACTATGGGCAGAGTTAGTTTGCAATACTGCATTCTAACCACTGAGCTAAACACAGCATGAGCTCTCAGGTAGGGCCCATTCCTGGATTGCATAATTTGTTTGTATATTACCTCAAATTCAATGGCAGTTTAAAATTCCTGACACTGTATAACATGACTTTCATTCAGAAATAATCCTTTGCAAAACAGAGAAATAACCAAAACCTCCGTTACACGACTCCATATATACAAATAGTATTTAAATTACAATGGCAATTGAGATCGAAATTTCCATTGCTTAGTGAAGTCCCGGATTGCCATTGTTAGCTGAATCCCACAGCTGTTAGGTGAGGCAAGTTTCTGCTAGCTTCCAAAACCAAATCAATGCAGAAACTGGCAGAAAATTACAAGTCCCAGGCAGGTTACAAGCAGGCCACCATGCAGGAAAGTGGCTGCTGCTGGGAGAAGAAGGATATGAGGAGATTCCAATGGTGCAAGAGAGACGTGACAAGGATTTGGGGAGGGTGAGTGTGTAGGTTTGAGGCAGGCATGGCTAGTCAAAGAGAGCATGCAAGGATGGCGCAATGAAGACTGGGGAGGGTGCACCATAGAGTGTGAAGATTTGCAAGACAAGGCATTGGCAAGAGAGGAAGAATCATTGGCATTCCCAGATTACAGCAATCTAGGAAGTCAAGCCAACATTTGAGAAGCCCTGAATATCACAATATGCTTTTATAAAATGTCAGCATTCATATGTGTATCCGTTTTTGTGGAGAAAAAGATCCCAAACTAACTTCAATCAAATGTCAAAAGTTGGATAAAAACAATTCACCTCAATTATATTGTTCAGGAAGTCGTATGGGCTGCAAAAAGTCAAAGCGTTTGACTTTCTGCCTCAACAAAATTTAAATTTAATGTTCTTACAGCTAAAAGCCATTTTAAAATACAGAAGTGGAACGGTATCATTTGGGAGGGAATGATTTGGATTTGTTTTCTTTCAATTTTGGCAGAAATGTTGATTGAAAATTTTTACTGAAAGATTTATGTTGAGCTTACAAGGCTTTAAAATATTTCTGTTTTTCATTGAACAAAGACAGGAAATCGCACATTTTTTTGCTGCTGAATATGGGTGTTGTACTTTTGGGGGGGCACAGAAAAAAAGCTGAGGACCCACTGAGCCCCACAAGCAATTCAGTCCAAGTGGGGTTACATATAGAACATAATGCACTGGAATTTCATTAGTGAAGCTCGCTAAGCAACTTGCAGGTCTTTTGCTGCTAAATAATTTTTAATTCTGCAGAGACAGTTCCATAAGCTTAAATTTAATTCTACTGTCAAGTGCAGCCTGCTAAGTACTCAGTCGGGAAATCAAAGTGTAAGTATAGAATGTAATGCTTAACAAGCACTTGGCAAGCCACCATTAATGACATAATTCTCAGAGTTCTCCTACTTGCCATGCTAAATCAGAAAGTATGGCCTACGATAGATCAAATAAGCATAAAATTCACTCATATATAGCCATCCATCTGCTATGCAGCTTACTAGTAATGCTGACGTATCAGAAGATACCCAACAGTGGTTTTTTCCTTTATATTTCCCAAGGGATCACTATACAATTCTAGCCTTGCTCTGCATGTGATGACTCAAAACAAACTGAACTACAGTTCCCAAAGTTTGTACAGTAGCATCATCTACGCATTTCAGACACACACTGGTTACGCTTTTTGCCTGTGCATTAGCTAACAGTATGGTCCAATTATAGTATGATGCAATATATATTTCAGATATTCAAAAATATTTGTATTTTGCTTCATGAACAAAGGTGGATTTCAGAACACTGTATAAAGAGAAAATAATAGTAGTTTCTACTAACATCAGCTTCAGAATAATTACTTAATTTTGTACAACTGGTTATTCTGTTTTTACCTGTTTCGTATTCCTGGAGGTAGATTTCTTTTTCCAACATCTGTAGCTGGATTCATACAGGCAAATAAATGAAAATTGGGATCACGTACCAATGGCTCTAAAAAGAAAAAACAGAGATATGCAATTTCAATTCCAGTTTTCCTCAGGAAAACAAAGAAAAACATATTAACAAGCAAGCCTTGGGCAGGTGTTGTATACTTAAAAGTTGGTAATAGTTGGTTTTGTTGCTTCATCCCTCATATTACTCATATTCTGCATAACCCAAGTTTATGTTTCTGTAATATCTATCAACGTTCTATAAAACAACACCAGCCTCCTGATCTCATGAACTACTTTTCCAAAGAACTGCGGCCAAACAGTCACATTTCAAGTCTCTAACTATTTAGTCAGTTTCATTTCCAATTTATAAATAAAAAAATAGTGATGGCAACTCCAAACTGAATCTGAAACATACAGAAAAATATAATTTTCCAAGAAACAAGTTTCCACAAGTGAGGATTGGAGCCAAGTTAAATTCTCTTAAGACAACTTCTGAGAGAAAAATGAATTTATCCTAAAATTCATAATTCAGTATCGATTCAAACTATAATTATGGGAGAAAAAATGAATCATTCTTCCAGTTAAGCTTTCTATAAACCTGTCTGAAAAAAATTAAAACATCTCTCCTAGGACAATTATTGGCAGGTTGATGGCATTACATTTTAATGCCTTCTTTCAACCTTCTGCTGAAAATACTTCACATGAACACATCCACTTAGATACAAACATTAACATCTGATGATCCAAAAACTTGCCAGACCTTTACAGCAATCAAGATAAAAATAGTTTAACTGAAGAAAAGGTTTATTCTCTCCAGCTACTGCAAACAGAGTTATCCATGTATCTCAGACCTGCCTGCCCAATCAATCTGCTTCCACTTTTTGGTCGGTTATAAAAATCTTGCTTTGAGACCTCAAAGCAAGATTTTGAGAATGAGAACATTACAGAGTTTATTTGGATAAATCACGGGGAAATGGGTATTTAGTCCAGCATTCTCAAGCCACAGCAGCCAAGTAGTTATGAAAAGGAAGTACATAAACAAGGACTAAATAATCCAACTTGTTGTCCTTATCCCTACCAGCATTAAAATATTGACTTCTGTACTGGATGGAACAATGTAAGGTTGTCATAGTAACTACAGGTAGTTTTCTTCCCCTTTAGAGATACTCATCACCACAAGTGGGTTTCTTCACAAAAATTTTATCCAAACCTACAGACCTGGTATCTCAAATTGTGAACTGCAACACAAAAATTCCAACACAATCTCACCCACATTAGAGGTTAAAATATTACTATAACCCCAGACCCTTAAAAACCATTGTAAACAATGTAATGCTATAAAAAAAAATACCTGTGTCTCCTCTGTCTAGTAAAACTAATGAACCAGACAACCCTTCAAGTAAGCCACTTAAACATTCTAATGTCTCCGCTGTAGCTAAATTAATCTCATCCAGTAGAATCCATTCTCCTTTCTTCACTGCTTGTGCTAGGGTGCCCTGAAAACAAAACAGAGAAACAAGTTACCATAGCTCACTTAAGCAGACAAAATGAAGGAAGGAAAGCAAAGAGAAATCTCTCTCTCTTTCTTGTATCTCTCTATGTCTCTCTGACTCCCCCATTTTCTCCCTCTGTATCTCTCTCTCCCCCTCTCTGTATCTCTCTCCCCTCTCTCCGTATCACTGTCTCTCTCTCCCTCTCTGTATCTCTCCGTATCTCTGTATGCATCTCCCTCTCTATCTCTCTTCCTCTGTCTCTCTCTCTTTCTTTCTGTCTCTCTCCCCCGCTCTCCCTCTCTCTGTATCTGCCTCTCTTTCTCCCTCTCTTTATCTCTCTGTCTCTTTCCCCTCTCTATCTGTCTCTCTCTCCATCTCTCTCCCCCCTCTCTGTAACTCTGTCTCTCTCCCCACTCTGTATCTCTGTCTCTATCTCCTTCCCTCTTTCTCCCTCTCTCTGTATCTCTCTATGTCTCTCTCCCACCCCTTCTCTCCATGTGAATAAAATTTCAGAAGATGCATCAATATTCAGAATAAAATATCCTGCAGCCCTTGTTTTTCAAAACATGATAACAGTAATAAAAATATTACCTCTACAAATGCAAAGACCAGTGCATTTTCTGTCATCTTCATCTGCTGCTGAGCATGATCCAATCGGATACCAAATTCTTCCCATTTTTCCTTCAGGGGCAAACCTACAATGACAGATTTCTTCATTAAAACCAGGAGTATAATACAAATACTTACCAACCATCACTATAATTAGTATAGTTCAAGACATATCTGAATTTATCCTTATAGAAGGAAGTTTTACAAATAAGGCACTGAATGGAAATATGGAACGCATCAAACAAGAGTTAAAACATTTTATTGGCCATGAAGCTATTTATCAATATATCTTATATTGTAAAATCCACTGGCAGGATATTAGATAACTGCATTGAATATGTTAATAAGATGTGAGCCTTGTTGCATTATTTTATTGCAGCACTTACTTAAGACACTGGTAAAAAAAGCAAAATCCTGCAATAATTTGTATATCTTTTCAACTTTTCTGATCTTCCTTTAATAAGGAAAAAAGTATGGCCATAATATATTGCTTTGTATCCACCCAGCTGATTTGATTCTGAGGGTTAGCACACTTCAGGATCTTTCTCTGTAACAGCACACACCTTCTTGAAAGAGGTCCCCACAATCCGCAACCCAATATCCAGCAACATCCTCTGATGTTTGTTTGAAACCAAGAGTATAATACAAATCCTTATAAACCATCACTATAATTCAGTATAGTTCATGACATATCTGAATTTGTGAAGATCTGACTTTTCACCTAGGATTTCGATGAAGGAGAGAGAAAGAGACCCCTTGCTTCATTCCTTCTCTCTGTTGTGCCTTCCATCTTTTAAAACTTTTTTCGCACCAAGATTTAAAAAAGGAAAAAGTTTGTCAAATTGTTCCAGAAATATATGAAGGGCTAATTTTTCCCCACTCAGTCTAAAAAGGAAATATGTTGAAAGGCATGTCTGGAATACCCCGTAACTCACAGATGTCTTACCAGATGCATTTTCTTTTGCCTCCTTATTAATAGCAGATTTGTAAACATGCTGCATCAGTTTGAGAAGGTTATGCCAATGCTTCTGGCGGTAACATGTTTGGATATGTCCTAAAAAAGTCTGGTTTTGTTTTCTTGAAAATGTCTGTGCAAAAAGTTCCTCAAAAGACTCTCTCAAGGGTAGCCATATCAGCTTGTTATCCACTGGCTTATATCTGTAAAGAATTTAAAACAAAACAGCCACATGAAACTGATGGCATTAGAGCGGTAGTGCCTAAATTTGATCAGTCAAGGATAAGCAAAAGTGAGCTACAACATAGAACAAGGTATGTTTCTGTCAAAGTTTTCCTTCTATAAGAAACGTTCTCACATTTTTCCTGTACTTTTGCCTCCCCTCCCTCTCCCATCAGCCCTTTGGGTGGAACATCCCTTTCCTTCTCTGTTGTAATATCTTTTCTAATCTGACAATTAAACAGGAAACCATATTATGCTAAAAGTTTTAAGTGCTTATGAGCTACACTTACCCAATGTCAGGCCTGCAATTATGGTTCCACCACAAAACCGCGTTCGACTAAAGCGCGCTCGACGAAACCGCGTAGCTGACGTCATCACAGCGTGACGAAAAAAGCACGCTGCGAACGCTAAAGCTAAAATTAACCCCTAAACCTAAACATAACCCTCCTAAACCTAATCCTAAATCTAACCCTAAACCTA